AAGTCGTCTGCACGTGGTAGCAAAACGTTGGGTGTTGGATTCGACTGTCTCACTTTAACTGAGCTTGCAAAGTTATCCACTCTCTTCACACGCTCTGGGAGAGCCCAGTCTCCAGTGACTATAATACTTCGGGCAAGTGCAAAGTCAATTGCTTCGGAGAGGAGGTGTTTCTAGCGAAGGGCAAGCTTCACTCCACGAGACAGTAGCTGGCATTTTTTTGAGCCGATGACCGACAAGATAATGTAGGCCTGTTACTGCCTAGAGTGAGCGGGGGTAGAAGCGAATAAAGTCACTTTTAAGTCTTCGGCACAAAGGCAAAAATATCAGACTGAGTGCCTGTCAAATTTGAGCTTAATCGATGATTAATTAATGTATAACGCCGAAGCTAATGGCGCAGAGCGGTACTCCACCGGCAGTAGCGGGTAAATATGAACGCTGTGTTGACATTTTGGGATTAGTCATTAAACAAAGCCATTTTTTTGGCGTTGAGGGCGCGCCGCAGGCAAATTTAATCACAGGTCTACAACCCATCTTGGCTTTCTTTTTTCCAGACGGCAGGAATGTGTTGTTTTTGTAAATGTAGTAGCTGTGAAAAGATATTGCCACTGTCTGCCGAGCCTTTTGCAATAACGAAAAACAGGAGTGTGTAGATAAAAAAAGACACCCATAAAAAGAGTTGAGAGCATGGTTAATTTTGCTGAGTTGCGATTCAGTTGACAAAGGACGTTGCTTTGTTTATGACGCATAAAGGATTCTTGCACTGTTTTACTCTGAGACTCATATTTTGCACAACTTTATACTTTTCTTCACTGTAAGAAATATTCTTTCGGAGTTCAGTGCACTGAAAAAGTGAACCCCAAGCAAGTAAGAGCAACAAAACGAACCTGAGTCTGTCTGTCGAGAAGAAAAGCGGGCACGGTAAAGCAAGAACGTGCACATTGCAAAAAATCCAGCCCTTTATTGACTGCTTGCAATTCGGAAAAAAAGTGAAGGGAGAGACTATCCGACAAAAGGGGCGCTGTTCAGCGCTGCTCTTAAGTGATGCTCGGCCATGGTGGCCCCGTTTACTGACGAAATGTGAGGAAAGAATTAGAAACGAAGGAACAGGGGAGAAAAACGACAAGTATCCACGTGTATTTCGAAAAACGCCGGAATTGAAAATGAAATTTTTTAAAAAGAACACTGTGTTTCCATGATGAAAACGTCTATTTCAATTCATATAAATGGATGACTACATTAACTCCGAAACAATATGTTTAGTTCATACTATTCAGCAAGTGGCTGGACATAACTTGCATGAATCTTGTCTGCATGACACCAGAATAAATGTCTAATCAATATTGATGAAACTGTTAAGCACGGTAAAGTTTTTTTTTCAATTTTTATTTATTTTGTTTTTCCTCAGGAAGACGCTGACACAACGGCGAGTTATTAATGTTGGCAGCCGTCGGGCTCCTGAAACTTTCTGTTTGTTCAGTTCGGTCGGGATTTAATCACGTACCAATCTCAGCTGGCTGTCATCAACCATTTATGCGCCGGATCCGTCATTCAATTACCCGTCCTATCTGAGCCAATCGCACCCACCAAATAACAGTCCGCGTGCTCGGTGTTTCGGTGCCAGCATCTAGCGAGAATCGCAGGCAATTGTCCAAGCATTCCTCCGGGCAGTCTGTTACATCCCCCCGTAAGACTCGCCACTGGTCGTTTCATTTCCAAGGTCCCCTTGCAGACTGACACAAAATTTCAGCCATCCACAGCCGGTACACTTGCTCTCCGGCAAATCCATTACCGTTTGGTTAACAAATTAAGAATTAATTTGATTAAATCAGGCACAAGGACACAAGTTTTCTCCGCGAATCGCTCCTCACATCCCGTGATCTCTGACAGCGGTCGTCCGGGGCTCGAAGGCTCAGTAACGGGCCGCGAACTGCTGCATTTCCCGCTCAGAAGAGGGAGCCGGGAAATGATACAATGAGCCCGGCGAAATTGAGTTTGATCACCAAATATTTCGAAGACTCACTGGTGATTTTTGTCTTGTGACTTCTCTTGTGATTTCAGATGCTAAACTCGTAGCTCGTTTCAAGGCTGGATAACTGAAACCCCCCCCCAAAAAAAACAAACAGTGGCCGCGTCTCATCAATACGGGCGATTCACAATAGTGCGCCTCCAAGAGTTTGGAACGCGTTGGGCAATCACAATGCGCAAAATCTGTCTACCCTTTCCAAACGTGCATTTGGGTCGACAGGTTTCACGCACTGTGATTGGTCAACGTGTTGTAAACTCTTGGGGGCGCACTTTCGTGAATCCCCCGTATTCGTTTGTTCTCTCTTCATCAGACCTTTTTAAATGTTCCGAGTAGAGGAGCATCATTTTGACTACCCACTGGCAGGTTTTGTCCAAGTTAAAATTTAACTTGAATTCTTGTATAACTGCGTGGGCAGTTATACGTCAAATTTCTTGGCAGTAATCCAACTGGGGGGGGGGCGTCCATAAAGATTATGAGCTGCGTTTCTTCATGCGTGTGTGCATTAGCATTTCTACTGCCCAAACATCGGTCACGGCTATCTCGTGTAGTTAGTCTCGTTATCGACCCACATACGAATGTGAAAATTCAGAAAAGCATACATATAGACAAAAAAAGCAGAGGGTTGACACTTGCCCGGCCTGTAAAAACTTCCTTCCGGTCCGTACAATGCATGGACTGCAAACTGTAAATTAATCAAGACATATTTTGTTATGTTAATTTCATTCGTTCGGAAATTTTGGAAAGTTCCTTCTGTCACTACTTTAATTTCCACAGGTTAGTTTTTTCGTCTCCTGATGGTACTGGTTGTCTAAACTTGTTTTAATGGGTAGCTGCAATCGATTTGTTTTAATACCAACCTTCAAAACGCACCTTCGTGCCACACTTTACCTTTCAAAGGATATTTAGCGCCTTTTTACCTTTATGCTAATGAGTATGTCCATATTCATGTCAAAACTATGATGCCATCTCAGGAAGAAACCTGGTGAATTGGTTTGGACACAAAAAACCCTGCATTTCTTTAAAGATTTTGCTGGACTCAGCTCTCTTCTTTGCCGATTCATTGTTGTTTATGTGCATAACAATCAGCAAGCATCAATCCCTTTCTCAGAAATGTTTTCAGCAAGTAAATTCTGGGTTCACAATTTGAACAGAAAGCCCATGCACTATGAGCGTTTTCGAAACGAGTAGGTTCGGCTTAGACTTTGGTTTCGCTGGTTCCAGCCATTCTGAAACGGCCTTCAAAACCACATGTTCCAGCCATTCTGAAACGGCCTTCAAAACCACATGCTCAAGCTCTGACTGGAACCAGCGAAACTGAAGTCTAACATGAATGCACTCGTTTCGAAAACGCTCAGTCCCGACATGACTTCACGGCAACAGCGCCCTCAGTTGTCCAGGAAAGCACGGATAATTTGAATTGTATAAAAAGGACACTTTTCAATGCATTTAACTAAACAGGGATGTAAAAGAGTTTTCATACATTGAAGAAGAGGACAAAGTTGAAGAAAAACGTGTCTAAGAAAATTCATTGCATCTACAGTTCAAGGTTTTGATTCATCTTCAACGGTTCATCTGAGTTCAATGAATCTATAGTTTGAATCGGAACAGATTATTTCCACAAGTAACTTTAACCAATGCAATTGTTTCGGTCGTTTCGTCCATCTAATTAAAATCAATTCACCCAGACAAAATTATGTTGCAGTCATCTCAATTTTTTGCTTTTTTTATTTTAACAATGACGATAATTGCATGGTAGCCAGAAAAGAATGGAAAACAACTTGATCGAATAAAAACACAGCCTATCGAAGATCAGTTGGTTGACATCCACTCCTAAAGGCGCCGGTATAGTTAACAGTTAAGTAAACGATTCAATACCAAGACAGTGCGTGCAATAGTGTCCTTGTGCTTCAAATGAATCCGAATAGAGAGACCAATTCCACTTGTCATCTTTGATGATGGTTCTCGCTCTGTTTTTCCCTACCAAGCGAGTTTCCCCGCTCCCCCGTTATAACCACGATGGAGAGCTTAGTCGCGGCTGCTTCATGCCCAAACACCTTCCAAAAAACTTATAAAAATACAACACTCAACAGGGACGTGACTCTGGGCATTCATTACACCAGCTACAAACAAGGCAATGAAGCCAGAAACTTACTATTATAATAGATAAATCCGGAACAAACCGCCTTGCACTGTACCTCCGAGGGAATGGACGACCGAATTACACCGCACAAGCTCTTCGCTTTATCAGATAGGTGGCTTGGACAATAGTAAGAGCAGTATTGAAGGGTGCATGTGTAAATGATACGTTTTATAACGTTTGTTATACATTGGTCCCTGTAGATATGCTCCGAGCCATTTTATCGCTCTTCGTATGTGCTCATTGCATCTGACTCCGACTCCTTTACGCACTGCGTACGCACGAACAACCACCACCACCCCATCGATGCGTACGTAGTTTATGGACGGCCTCTACGAGCGCGTATGGGTGTAGAGCTACCGAAGTGATAGTGTCTCCTCGGGCCAGACTATCACTAACGAAGCAAGGCCTTCATCGGTTAGAGTAGAGGAGGAGCACTTAAAACTTCCAGTTTGTAAAACAGAGCACCTTTTTTAAACACTAGTCCTGAACGAGATGCCAAAATAGGATTCCTGAATTTCTAATCGGTAAGTGAGGGCACAAAACATGCTGTCTACTAAACATTCACGCCACAAGGCTTTTGAAGTACTTGTTTCCACAAATGGTAAGAAAATAAGGATAATCGTGAAGGGCATATCTTTTGGGGGTTCACTCTACATGCTTAGTCGGTTTCTTTTGTACGAATTTCACTTTCCTTCATTGTCATGGGTTGAAGTTCGTCAATGCAACAGTAGTATTCAGATAAAATTTCAAACAGGCCAGGGGTAGTACTCCATCTATGCTCAAAATCCTCTCGTTGGGGCTTACTTTGAAAGGCTGAAACAGGACACGGACACTTTTTTAAATAGAGATTATTTTATTGAATATTTACAAGGCATGGTTACCCGACAAAGGAACAAAATATCATATATTACAGTTGCTATATAAAGGGTATCTTGCTAAAAATAGGATCCATTACTGAGTACGACCCTAATTTTCTGTCACCGGCCTGTGTTCTGGAATGTTAACCTTCACTTTGGCGCCAATCTTTTCTTAACAGCCGTCTTGTCGAGAATGTTGCTCCAAAGAAGGTAGAGGAATGCAGAAAAAAACACAAACCAAGAAGACCTTTTCTTTCTTACGATTTGACGGAATTCGTTGTGTTTTTATCAGCACGTTTTTCTTTGATTTACTCGTTAGATTAATTACAAAAAATGTTTGGCAAGCCTTTAACGGTACACTTTTGTTTGTGTCGGATGCATATCACAATCTGACGTGTGGGAGTAAGAAACTGACCTCCACAACAGTTTTACCCTGAAATAATCATATGGATATCTTATTGGATAGAATGCCGTATTTACCAGCTAGTTAAGTATATTTTTTTTCTTTCATTCCAACTATTCTTCTTGTAATTAGATCCATCTATTGCACAATCGAGAATCACTTTAAAATTATTATAAACAGCCTATACTTTTCATTCGCAAGATTATATACAATACAACCAATCCACTTTACTCTTTATTTCTTTTGCTAAATATATACTGATAATTATTATAGCTATATTATAGTTTCATTTTATTATATATTATTCCATCTAAAAAATTTTGCTGTAGATGTTTGGTATTTCTCGGATCGTAAAGCATTATTTACAGAGAAACTAGATATGTTGGTTGCGATTGTTTTAGCGAGTTATACACCATTTTGAATTAACGTGGCAAAACCACACGACAGGGCATAGGTGGGAAAAGCACCTCGGGTATCGATTACTTCTCTCGACTATTACTTCTCTCGCCTATTCTCGGATATCCGAATGTCTCTCAAGAGGCTCCTACAAACATTGTCGATTATGACGACTACATTGTACACACTGGTCAATGGTTAGAAACTGTACTGATGCGGCTTTTAAACAACTCTCTGTAATTCTTCCAATACATTTATTGCAATGCTAAATACCCGTTCCTACCAGGAACCCCTCGACGATACTTTACATCAAACAGACACTGTTTTATATTCGCAAATCGCCAAGGATACATTGGTAACAAGTAATTTGATTTCCCCCGGCATTCGAAGAGCAGGCATAATGGAACGATTTGGATTGGATGCCACTGTGATGTTCATTCTGATTGGTCAAACAAAGAGGACAGGGACTCTTCCATTTCCAGCGTAGTAGTCAATTTATGACTAGTGCCCTTAATATTTTGACCCATTAGATACATTACATGCATATACTCGATAGTGATAGGTTCATGAGATTTCTTCTATCATTAATGTATTAAAACCTGGTCCTTCATGTCCATGAGCCACAAAGGATTAATACGCACACTTAGCATGACTCTTTGAAAATAACAACAATATACCTGCGAGGGATCCAACAGTTTGCATGAACTGCGTGATTTTGTAACAACAAAAAGTCACTAGACTCTCATGTGGAACTTGTGACCTCATCAATTGCCATCCGGAGGAAGTCCCGGAAAACATCGTTTGCACCCACTTCATGCCCACTTTCATGGACTCTCCTTTCCCCTTCGCACAGGAAGCACTCGTACCTTGCCTGACAAAACCACTCAACCTTCAACCTGAAAGCACGCCAGGGTAAAAACACCAGCAACTCACCTCTAACCTTATTGGGCCTCGATTGGGTTTAAGAGAGGGCGCAATTTTGTTAGTGGGAACAGCACTTTGCTGGTATCCCAACGACTATGACACGTACACGATACAGTCGCGTAGACCACTCCCGACCAACCGATGCGTGCGTGCGATAGTATCACACTCGCGCGTGGCGAGGCGTGCGCATGACCAAGGCCATTTTCGACGCGGCCGTCAATATCTGCAGCCCAGGCTATTCTCCGTGGTGCGTCCATGACAAACTGCACAGCCGTAGCCACAATTTGAAAATACCCAGTCTGGACCACACAGCTATGGCCGTGTCCGAAACGGGCATCCAGCGCTTCGTCTACGCCTACTTTCAGCGCGTCTGTAGTCGGATTTAAAATGGACAAAGACACAGAACTAGCTTTATACAACAGATTCGTATTCAGCCTTATGTTGCTCCTTGATGTGGAAACGTTCTGAATTGAATGTAAATAAATCCACTTCGGATTTGTGAGGAAGGTTCAGAAGTGAGAGAGCACCTAGTCACTAAAAGGCGCCGAAGTAGTTTCTTTTAATTTTATTAATCAAAGCAATGTTGCGTATGTGTCCATCGCGTCAGAACCAAAATACGGCTGCGTCAGTTATCATTAACACACTCATTGGAAATGTTTGATAAAGGTCCAAACCTAATAAAAGCTCGAATTAATCACTAAAAGTGAAGTGCTTTCTAAATGTCGCGTGGCATTATTTTCTGGATACAGATCTGAAACAAAGAAATTCGGACTTTCTGCAAATGGACTATCAGCCAACACCTCGAATGGTACAAATAAATGAAACGGCAAACAGACACACGCGATGGTCATTTATCAAATCCACACAAATCCCACACTTTGTCTGCAAAAAGCTGGATTGTACGGATTCTGTTAAAGGATTGCTCGTCTACTAATACTCGAAACTCACTCAAAACTCACCAAACACACTCCGATTGAGATTCCTTCCTCAATGACTTCCACACCCAACACACACTACCACTGATGTGTATGAACTATTTCTAGTGTGCCCAGAAAAATAGGAAAAGAACTAGATAAAATATACGTCATATAAATAAAATAAATGGAACAAGAAATACTTAGCACAAAGGTCGACAAATCCCATTCTTAATTTGATAACTGCGCATGCACGCATATCACGTGACATTATTGAATCCTTGAGTTCCGTTCCATACTGTGTTGACCAATCAAAGTTATGATAGTGCGCAACAGAATAAAAGACTGACAAGCGTGCGTCTATACTCCAATTGACATCCCATTTGAATCACGTTTTGTCAAATCAGCCCTTTTCAGAATCAACAGTCGTATTTTGTTTACACAACCTGACAAATCTTGGCGATATCTCATAGTCACTGGGCGACCTCATTCTCCAGTGTGCTTTCTTTGATAGTGTGTTTATTTATTCAATGTGTTGGGGGAGCTAACGGTTCATTTCAGAGGTCTGCTCGGCTTCTTTCGTTGCTCTCACTGCCCAATTTACTGGCTCCAGAGAACAGTAGCTTCAGCGGCCACAATGACTGGCCTCAACGATCATTCCACTATCTCCATCGGTGTCCTCGTTCACCTGCCGCGTTTGAAGTGGCCCATTTAGCTGCCATTGCAGTGGGCTGCGTTGTTAACGAGAGAGGGCGCTTTGTCCAATCATTCACACACATGTGGCGGCAAGGCCAGTTCAAGGCTGGCCTCGGCTGAGCCTCTCGGTTTGTCACTGATGAGTGGGAACCTCTGAAAGAAGAACGAACAGGATTGCGACCATATACGTTGGCGTACAGCGTCTCGCGGTATTAAACTGACAAGTTTTTGCTGTGGTTATCAATCGCGGCATCCGGTCTAAGCCTCGAAGAAAACGATGATCCGCCCGGTGAGGTTAACCTCAAGCCTTTCCAATCCACTGACCCGCGGTCGCTCACTCGGTGGAAAGCAAATGGGCAATATGCAAGAATCGAGCGACTGGCATCATCGATGACAAGGATTGAAAGTGTTTACTTTCTTGGTTCTTGATACGCTTTCTTTTCGTCGTTTTGCCTTTGTTTTTTCGCATGGTTTGTTACAGCTGATGTTTTGGAGTGCAACTTTGGACGTCCACGCCTGTTAGTTGATAGTTCAGCCGGCATCGATTGATTTCAAAAGTCATGTCTAAAGTTTGTTTGGGACGGCTTGGAATTAGTTTTCGGTTTTTCTTCTCAAGCCACGGGCTCAGTATTTGGCAGTCTGGAGTATTGGGTAAGCTCTATGTTCTGTCCCGTGCCCCGACTAGGGGAGCAGTTTCCATCGCTGGTGGAGCGGCCCCGTCTGACCGAGCTGGCCTGCGTGACCAGGGTGGTGGAGCTGTACCGCGAACTCTGGTACATGGACTCCCCGGGCCCGCCACGCCCGCCCTGCCGACGCCGGCTCCCCAAACCGACGCACCGGCAGATGCCGCGCAGCGCCTGGGCCACGTTCTCCCGGAAATTGCGGGACATGAAGCTGTAGACGATGGGGTTGACGGCGCTGTTCAGGAACGTCAGGACGTGGATGGTGGCTGAGAGCTTGAAGATATCGTTCATGCAGAGATGATTCAGGGCATTAAAGGCAACGAGCACCATAACCAGGATCATGGGTCCCCAGGTTAGGGCATAAAGGAGAACTACCAGAATCAACATCAATATAACCTGACGAAAAAAAAGAAGAAAATTGACGTTCAAAGTAGAGGTAATCGGCGGGAACAGTCCTTATTCGTACGATTCATTGAAGAATAATGAATAACAGATCAAAAAGGAAGTCACACTTTTGCTCGTGAACGTGTAAATTTGCGTGACCTCGAAAATAACAAAGCCACACGAAGGCTTGTAAAAATTTAAAAAAAAAATCATGGCGAATGAAATTTGGAAAGTTACACTGCAGCGCCATTTTCCATCAATGTGGTCGGACAGGCACATGTGGGCTCCACTCTAACCAGACCTGTTTTTAGTAAGTGGAAAGGGTCGTGATGGACTGAGCCTTAGGCTAATTCCAGGTACCTGTTGTCGATCTTTTATCGAGACGGGTCTCCGAGGTCGTCTCTGGTACCGCGCGTGAGGCGACCCGCCCGACACCACCACCCGTCCTCCCACCGCCGTCTCCCACCGCGGCTCCGAGCCGGCCGAGAAGGGATCGTCGTCGACCGACGAGGCCACTGCGTTTGGGTTGGACACGCCGCTGAAGCCGTTGGCGTTGGTACGGAGCGGCTTGGCGGAACTGGGGGCCTTCATGCTCTGCAGACCCCGGGAGATCTTGGCGCTGCGGTACAACCGCACGCAGACCGTGATGTAGGCGAAACCCATGATGCCCAGGGGTATGATGTAGAACACCAATAGGCAATACATGACAAAGGCCTTCTCGGAGAGAATAACGTTGTCTTGGTATTCCTTAACACAGAGGAACTCCCTCGTGTCAGGGAATCGTTTGTGTTCCTGCGACAGCAAGAGTATATAACAGAGATCAAAGTTACACAGTTGCACGAACATCCGAGTGCTGCATGATATTGTGCTCTGCGAACTTTTGTCCCGGTATCCCGGTCTCAGCGGTCCCCCTTACCAAATATGGTAAAATACGTCACGCCATCTCTGCGCACAACAACGGGAAAGTCGTCCGTTTAATGTCCGGCTATTGGGGGAGCGTTGAGACCAGGAGATAGCCGAGACCCCCCACGTCGGAACTGTAAAACCGCATCGCTAGTTTGGCTTTTGTAGGGAGAGAGTTGCGCACAGATCGTGGCCAAAAACGATGCCCCAAAAGACCAGTCTTCTCAAGATTTTGTACCAGTATTGAAGCTCGAAGGATTTTGCGACGTTTTGAAAACGACGACTTTGAAAATCACCGAGAATCTTTTTTTTTTCATTAACTTATTATTTATTAAAGACTGGCTTGTCTCGACATTCTGGTTTTGTTGTAAAATAGCAAAGACGTCTACCTTTGTGGCCGGAACGTGAAAGCGAATTTTATAAGCAACCCGACGTCAGGGTTAAGACAGGGTTCTAGACCAATTTCGGAAGCAGACATTCAAAAGTGATCCAGTCACAGAAAAGATACCACGATTGTGTTTGCTTTTGTTGTAAATATATTAATGTGAACGAAATAAACGCAGCATGTCGTTAGAAACAGTCGATCCATGTCGAAGAATCTCTGGTTGGCAATCGTTTGAAATCTCACCTATACAGTTTCTTATCTTGTATTTGTAGACACACGAGGGACTGCGTGAGTTCCAGGTCGCGCCATCTTTTCCGCTCGGCAAATTTGTTTTTTCGACATTTGCCCGAGGTTTCCAGCAGAAAAACATGGATAGAGTTTCCTGGCCCAATCAATGGTCATTGTTCCTGGGGAACTTGGGAGCTTAGTCAGGAATAAAGAGCCCGGCGAAAGGCAAACCGTCCGGCGGTGAGTGCGTATCAGGTTTTCTAACCGCCCTAGTCCAAAGTTCCACCAGAGCGCGGGGCGCCATTATGAGGGGCCCGTTTCTCTTTTCCCTCGGATAAAAATGTTCTGTTGTTCGCCGAAAAGTGTTTCAGTGTCTTCAACCTTTGACTGGATATAATATCATCCCATGCCCTCGATAAACAATCCCGGACGGATATCTCCCGCATTCAGGCCCGGCCCGCATTTTCTTGTCGAACGGGCCAGGGTTCGGTTTCACCAAAATCCGTTCAATGTTTAGCCGTTCGCCAACTATCCCTTGGTCGCTTTTTCCGTACTATTCGATTATTTCTTTTCCCGAAAGAGAAAGAGATGGTTTACATTTCACATTGGTCGCATTCTCCGGCAGATTCTTGGGTTACTTAACCTCTTCTCCTTAATCAAAATCGGTTATTGCAACCCATCAGTTTTTATTCAATGAGGATTTCAGAGAAAAAAAGGTAAAAAAAGGTGTTGTGAACGGCCACAATATTTGAAATATCTCACGCTTCTGGCAAAATATTTGAAAGCTGTAGAACACTTACTCTCCATCCCAGCCAAATTACTACAAATTTGCCTCAAGGGCGGTCTACGTAGCTAACGTTTGGCATCGTCAGCTTATGATGCCATCTAGCACGGCAACCTGTCCCTGTATACCTTGTGGTACCGACTAAACTTCATCGGGGTTCTGCGCGATAAAATGTAGTTGCCATGGCATTTCTCTCATGCATATTCGTAAGTGTGGGCTTCCCCTTGACAACAGGCATCAGAAACACCAATATCGTAGAGGACCAAATTCAGATTACGACAAAGGAAAACCGGAATGAATTATACAAACAAACTTGAAATGATGCCTCACGTTTGAGAATTTCTCTGCTTCACGAATAAAGGTATCCTGACGTCGCTCTCAAAACTGCCAGATGTAGGCCTAGTGGCACTGTGCTTTGACTGCGCCTTACCCCAAGCCTCTTGTAAGCACGAAAAAAAAAGCTACGCTAAAGGCTAGCTCATACGACGCACGAAAGAGAAAACGAACGCGAATTTGTAAAGTTAAATGAGATATTCGCGTTATGAATTCGTAAACATTGAACACATTTCAACTCAGGCGAAATTTTGCTGCCAATTTGTCGCGACGTGAAGTTCCCTTTGCTTTCGCACTCGTCTGCATGCATGCAGTATGAACCGGCGTTAAAACTGTAAGTTAAAGACTGTTTAGGTACATAAACAATTTGAAAGAAGTTCCAATGAAACTTTATACTTTGACTACAAAGTTTAGAACACTTAGATTTAAGGGGCCACGCTTGTGGAACGGTCTTTGAAACCACAGTCGTCTTTGGGTCGATTCAAGGCCTCTTTCAAATCATATTTGGTTCCTCAATAACCTGCTTAGTTTCCTTCTTTCCTCATGTATTTCTGCCTTTTTGTCACACTGCTGTGTCACTGTAATATAATTACCAAATTCATTGTTATTTTTCGTTTATTTTTATTTCCGTCATAAGGTATTCTCCCTTAAGTTAATCGTTGTTGTTTCTGTTTGTTGTCTTGCTTTTTGTTTGTCGCTCTGTAAATTTTGTTTTCTCCAGAGCTTTTCAATACAAGCCTCTCAGCTTCTGAAAAAAAGCCCCCATATTGGTTTTCCCTTTACTTATGTATTTCTCGAGTTTGATACTCTATAATTATCTCTCGATTTATATATTTGTACTGTTATTGTCTACTTTTCCTGATCTTCACCAATATGGAAATAAATGTCATATCGATTGATTGATATTGATTTATGGTGTTGAAAGCCAAAGTCTTTCTTGCAGTTTTTAGGAAATGGATTATACAAAATCAGTTCAGCACTTATTGGTGCCTAGCAACACGAAATTGCATACAGCAGAACACTGCATACTGGAATCCATTTCTTTTACTTTCTAAAGAGAAATGACAGAATTCTGTCAGAGATTTACCTGCAGCACCGCGCCGGGAATGGCGAGGATGAAACTGATAACCCACGAGCCGGCAACGATGAACTTCGCCTTGAGCCTGGTGATGAGGAAGCGCGCCCTCAAGGGGTACAAAATGACTATAAACCTGTCCCACGCAGAGAAAGAAGAGAAGAAACGAGAGAAATTAACCATGCCTCGGGTGTTGAAACCGTTACCGCGCCAAGCGGATGCATTATTGGCGGTTTTCCAGCGACGTTTGTGATCTGCTATCGGTTGTAAAAATCTAGGTCCGTAAGACAAGGCTGTTTACTAAATTAAAACCATGCAAACTGACTCCCCAAACAATACGAAACCACTGGATGAATTAAGTAGCCAAGTCTTAGGTTATATTCGTGTGGGGGTAGGGCTAAAAAAAGACTCACGCTCTGACAGCGTTTGGAAAGAACATACACTGCAAATTACCGGGCGAAAAGGACAAGAAAGGTTTGTAATTCCGGTAATCATTCATTCACTGTTGGACCGAAGAAAAAATGTAAGGAATTTAGGGCTCCCCGCGTCAAAAATGTGCCATATCACGAAAAGATTATGTTCAAATCCCATACAATGCATGTTAAAAAGTGTACTAGACCCCAGTAGTTAACCCCAAAATGGACTTTTTAACATCGAAAAAAAATGCCTACAACGACTTGCCTTTCATCAAGCTTTGTTAACCCCCTTTTAGAAAAACTGAAACCGACCTTTCCAAGCCAATGACCATCAACATGCAGGCCGAGCAGGCTGGCGACATCAAGTTCAGGTAGCCAATCATCTTGCAGGGGAAGGACCCGAGCACCCAAGAGTCGGTTACAAGGTCTGTTAGCTTGAAGGGTAGTTGGATAGTAACCACCAGGACGTCCGAAACGGCCAGACTGCAAAGCAGCATGGAGGTCACACTCTGCGGCCCCTTCTTGAAGAAGATGGTATAGACGACCAAGAAGTTGCCGATGAACCCTAACCCGGACGATGGACAAAATAACAAAGACCAAAATTTGACATGTCAAACCAAAAACAGACCATGCCCAGAAACTTGAGCAGTGCCCTATAGTGAGAAATCACTTCTGGTTTCTGCACCGTGTGTTATAAACTGGCGTTCGAGTGTCGGCCTAGCCTTTCTCTTTGTAACCGATAAGGGGCACTTGGGCACAGAGCCAGTACAGTTTAGAGCTTAAACTTACTCGAAAATAATTGAGGGCAATTGAGAGTGACATATTCAAGCGTTCCTATGGCGCCTCAGCATAAAAGTAAGTAATCACTTAGGAAAATAAAATGACGAATTGCGTTCCCACAAAGTACACTTTGTGCCGATCTTTATTCGTGAAAGTCGACACCTCAGAATTGTATTTTCTCTCTGTACACTGTATGTGATATTGTTTAGTTTCTTCTTGTTAGGCTGTCTATACTCGACCCACCTATGGCTCCGAGGAGACTGTACACGAAGCACAGTATAGCAGTCACAGCCAGGGTTGGCCAGACGTAGTCGCATTCGGCGACGTACCAGCTACTGACGTCAGTTGAGTTGCCCTCGGCGAGCTCCGCAAACGACTGCTGGGTGATGGTTCGGCCCATCGCCGGCGTCGTCAGCCACGACATTGCGGCCTCGGATCCCGGGACGAAGGCAGGAAATTCTGTCATGCAATCAGTGAAACAAAATGATAACTTTTGAACACACCCAACGAGAGAATCCGTGGCTGTACTTAATTAGAAAGCTGTCCAGCTTTTATTGAGTCGAGAAAGTTTGACAGTGTCGAGTACGCTCAGTAGAGCCCGACTGACGTCACTCGAAGTAGGATGCTTTCAAAGGCCCCAGTCGACTTTTCGGAGCCAGGCCACGAGGCAGGTTAAAAAAACTGCTGACATGAAAATAGCAGCGCAAAGAGGCAGCGCCCACGACTGTAAGGGGAAAGCCAACCGAGAGAAAAACGTATTTAATTTAATTAAAGGAGCAACGGTGGCAGTCCGGAGTTGCCAGAGCCACGTCTGCGTATATTTCAGACATTATAAAATCTTGAATAATAGAAACCATTTACAGACCATCAACGACACGACCCACTCAGCGTAGAGGATTAAGAAGAAGGAAGTAAGTTGTTTTGTTTGGCGCATATGATGACTAATAGTCTAATTTTGTAGGAAAAAGTCAATGGAAAAAACCGCGACACCAGAACGTTAAAGCGGGTGGTGGCTCAAACAAGGAACGACGTGCCAATTCGACGACGGCGCCCGCAATCTACAGGCCGTGACACCCAGTCGCGCCAAAATCACATCTCGCCTTTTCTATCATTCGAAAGAAGGTTTCCCATGTCTCTTGACCATAACAGTGAGCACGTGACAGAGACAGAGAGAGAGAGAGAAAAAAAAGAACGATGCGGTAAACAAAGCACCCGAGAAATGTGGCGTGCTCACGTCAAAGAAGGATGGAAATGTTCTCGGGATTGGTTCGATCGCACTCGAATGTACCAGGCCGCCACCCCAAACCGATCTTGAGATGTGGCCGTTGAAGCGCCAGTTCCGAGACGGATGGCAAAATGCCCTCTCGTTTGTGCAGCTGCCCACTTTCGACATTTGACACTCCCTTTTCTTGGAGTCGTCAGCAGGAGGTCAACCTTTCCCTCTGTTTGCCACAAATGGCCAAATATTTAATCCGACGATAAAAGGCCGAGATGTTTGCGACTGGTGGCGTCATCCGTAAAGTGAAAAATAGGCGAAGCTCATTGATGCAGCTGCATGCCAGGATTCATACAAACGGGCAGGAGTTATTTTCACTCAAAGCAGAAGTCCATGCGTCTGCTCGAACGTCAGAGCTCGAAATCGTTCCAAATTCAAACAGTGAGTGAAAATACCACAGGAGAATGATGCTTTGTTTTTGGAATATGATGTGTCGAAACAAAAGTGAAACTGCAATGTCGCTTAAGGAAATCCAAATGACCGCCGTAGTATTTGAAACTTAAATGTGTGTATGGTGTATCTAAATGCTGTGGAAACGCAAACTTGGCTGGGTGCAACAACGACAGAGTCAACGACGAAAACAACCAACCGACCGACCAACAAACAACGACAACCAACGGCAATACCGAAAAAAGGGTTTACCGACAAAAGCCTCACAAAGAGAACTGTCCGAAGAAGTGGATCTTTAAGGACTCCCTTCAAACAAAATGAGTACCTACGGATTTTAGGTCAAATGGTCAGCAAACCCGTTAGGCTACCTGCACTTCTATAATTAAGTTAATCACACGTTTCACGACCCACTGGTATCGCGGTTTTGTTAAAGTGTCAAGGTCCTGTCATTTGGTGGATTAAAGACGACCAGAAAAAAGTATGACAAGATGATTAAAATTCATTCTAGTGCAGTCAATGACACGCGTGCGCGCTCCCTCTGCTGGGGGGTCATGGGCCGGAACGCTCACTTGCTTAGGTGAAAGCACGTCAGCTATCACGGTTAAAAGAGAGTTTGAGGTTTTGGAACTAAAACGCTTTGATGGACATCTCAAAGAAGAATGAACCGCTGCAAAAAGTAACAACGAACACAACATGCAATCATTTCTACGCAACACAAAAAGCACGAAATTCGCACTTAGAGGGTAGTATTTTAATGTCCTTTTGGTCTTTATGCTAATGAGTATTTCTACATGGATAAGCCAAGCCGTGACGCCATTCCAGGAAGAATGCCTAAACGTTACATTGGTTTGTACACGAACATTTCCTCCATGTTTGTACATTTTGTGGGACTAAATATTCCCGTCTTTGCTGATCCGTTGTTGTTTACGCAAAGCAATAAGCGAGCATTATTCTCTTTCCCGGGAATTTTTCAGTAAGCAAGTGTTAGGTTCACAATTTTAACAGGAAATCTATGCACTTAACTATGCCATCCTTGGATGACATCACGGCAACGCCGCCCTCAGTTGTCCAGGAAAGCATGGATAATTTCAAGTGTTTTAACAAAAGAATTTTTTTCAGTGCATTTAACCAAATAGTGTAAAAGGGTTTTCATACACTGAAGAAGTTGCCGAAAAAAATTGTGTCTAAGGCCGCGTCCGAAACGGGATTCCAGAGCTACGGGTAGGTCTATTGTCTACGCGTCTCCACGCATTTCCAATGGAGTGAAGACCTAGACCTAGCTCTAGACAACAGATTCGGATGCAGCCTTAGAAATTTCACTGCGGCTACACTTTAAGCACAAACTGATGTGCACACTTATTTTTGCTGGGAATATAACTGTCGTCCACTTTCAGTCACTCCGTGGAAGGCTTGCTGCATCTTCGAAATTAACACCCCAACGATATAAGATCACAAAAACCATGAAGTGCGGTACAGCCGTCCCACATTTGACAGTGGCAAGCTCGACACTGTTGATGTTGTGGCCCGATAAACCGTATATAACAGATAAAAAAAGTCAACATAAGGAGGCCTCTGTCTTCGTCAAAGTCAGCGCTGCACAGGATGACAACAGGCGGCAAATTTACCACTGATGCGGCCAAGAAGGATGGTCGATGAAAAGCATTTCTATGATTAACTACATCGCAGTCCCACACGACGCACTTTCCTCTATCGTCTTGACACCGTTTTGGCGCGTCCGTCAAACAAGGGCCCTCTTGGAATGCACTCTTCACGGGGACTGCAATCTGCTGGCGTGCGAGACAGTGCCACTCATTTGAGGGCGAAGGACGAGCCCGACGAACGCGCCTCGGCGAATTCGCGAGGCCAGGAGGCGTGGAAAGTGCGCGGCCCAAAGACACACACGCACAAAAAAGGCGAGTCGAATGCCAATTCGATTCGGGAAATCAATCGGAGGCCACCAATCTCCGACATTAACTAGAAGCGAGAAAAGTGCAGCGCACAGGGGACGAGATGCATTTGAAACATGGAACGATTTGTTAATTACTGTTGACGCGCTGCTGGCTTCTTCCATGAGCGTCGAAGCGCCGGGGTATGAACCCGCAGGGCACCTGTCCTGGCAGCCTAGGGGAGTCTGGTTGCACTGATGTGTCTGAGTTTCTTTAGTCTCCCTGGCTGACCTATTGGTCGCTTGGTGTCAAGTGGTTTACGAAAGGCGTTTCGTATCTGGGCCGCGTTCGAGCGAAAGAAACCTTTGACAATGAACATGTTGAAGATGCACTTTTGCACAAGCTGAGGGAAGGTCGGCAGCGAGGCACTTAATAAATGGCAAATACTGATGTACCCCTAGGAGAGGGGAAATCGTTGGGGAAGGCGGCTTGTGTAAACACTACGTTATCGGGGAGGGGAAAACACCCACTGGCTGTTATTATAACACACTATCCAAGACAGCGTTCAGTTTGATACTATGTTAACAATCAAGCCTAGGAAGGGGTTTCGTGAGTGATTGTTGGCATAGCCAGGGTAAAGTAAGCCATTTTAATGACAAGCTGTCATTTTGTTTTCAGATTCGGAAAGAGTTTGATATGACAGGGGCCTTGAGTACTTTATCTTTTAGGGTAGTAATTTAACCTTCAGCAGGGACTGAGTCTTATTATTTTTTTTATTTTGAAATATTATTTGCTATATGTTTACCATCAACACTTCTGAAATGCTGTAAAAATAAGAAAGGACATTTTGGGGGAGAGGGGTCACTTCCAAAAGGAGAGACGTAGTCACAATTGGAGTAAAACAAACAAAGAGAAGCGTTTTTTTGTTCATCCAAAAAATCCATCATTTGAACTGGAGACAAGTCTACATCTGATCAATCAGAACGTGTTTGATTAAAGGGTCTCATTAACTCTGACCTGCACTAAATCTTGTTAATTGCTCCAATTATCCTTCACGGTTGCTAGGAGGAGATGGCGGTGCTTCTAACGAGGACTGTTCCTCACTGCTTTCAGGATAATATAACTCCACCATTAAAAAGTGTGTAGAATGTGGGGCGGCTTTTACAATGGCTCAGTAATAATGCTAATTTGGGAAAATATTTCAGAAAATCTAATTTGCAGATTAAAAATGAAATTAATGAAGGTAATTCTGCAATTTCTAAAATTTTATGAACCGGCCTTAAAGATTCCCCTAAGGCGGAATTTCACCCCTTTGTGTTTGCTCAGGCGCCAAGTATCAACTGACCTTTAATGGGGTGGTGGCACTTCTCTAGCACGCAGGAGGAAAGCGCACGCTTAAAATGCCTCTTCGACCAATCTGCCTTGAGCAGAAGAACCCCTTCATCGTTTGGAAAGAGCCATGTTGGTCGGGAGTTGGTAGTGAAGTTACCGTAACGAGTACTTTCATAGTCTTTGTGAACCACGGAGTGAAGTGCAGTTCCCACCAAGGGAGCCTCCGCTGCTAGGAAAATTCCACCCTCTCTTGGTCTCGCTCGGGCCTAAAAGGGTAACATGACTTGCAGAAAGTTTGAGAACGCTTGCATAAGTAAACTACTACTGCGGAAATGGCGATTTTTCGGACTGATCTAAATAAAAACCCTTTCCCTTTCCAGTGTATGGGTGATTATTGGAGTGTAACCTATCAAGAGCAAAGCATTTTTATCTTTGTAACACCTTGCTTGTACATGAATTTACTTTTGGCGTAGAAAAGTGTAATCTGTAGCTTTGTGCTGTTACTTGCGGCAATTCCTTCATAGAATTGAAGACTGTGAGGGGGCGCTAGACCGTCTAAACCACTCATGGCCGCGTCTGAATCACTTGGCTTCGGCTTGACATAACACACAACTCTATGGAAACTGGCTGCAGCTTACTACCATGGACTCGTGCGCAAATTCAAGCCACAGCCAAGTAATTCGGACCCGGCCTATCATCAACGCTCGACTCGGTGAACACTCCGCTAGAGTGTGTGCTCTACAGCCGTGCAAATAGCTCATGAGTGCTGTATAAACGCTTCTGGCTGTTGTCAGGCATAGCTTTGGCTGTGACACCTGAATTCAATGAACCGGCCCAAAAAATCCATCAATTGATATCTCGGCCAGGCAAACTCATTCAACGACGAACAACATCAAGATTTATGAGAGAAATTGTTGTGATGAATTCGGTGCAGTGAGGTGAGCTATTGTGTGTCACATCGTCTTTTTATCACTGGGAATTTCCCCAGGGAGAATCATGCAAAGGTAAAAGAAGGAATACTCATTTCGGAGAGCACTATGCAGTTTAGTCTGATAGAGGGGTCTAAACAAAGACGCAGCTCAGGATCTGAACAACCGTTCGCCGCCGAAAAGTCCCCCAGGAAGCAATTACTCTGTCGTCGTTCATTAAATTGTAACTCATGGGCTCCTCGTATTAAACACAGGGCAAGGACGAAAATTTCTTAGAACCACAGACATCCGCGTTGACAAAAACAAATTTCCCAACAATCGACCGATTCCAATCACGGTTGTTTACGTTTTTGTGATAAGTTTCGACAGAAATGCTGTCTTTCTTTCTTTCGTTACTTTTGAAATCTAAAGGTGCCCATCAGTAACTATTAAATAAAAATCCATCCATGCAAAACTTGTATTCATTTGAAAACATTCTTTCTCAACCACTTTGTGGGATGGTGTCATTATCTATTCTTACAAGCCACATTTCAGTGACATACTTCTAAGATCAAAAAGCACTCAACCTTGGAGAAAGCGTTAGGCAGACGATTTTTTAGTTTCATTTTTTAAAAAGTATGTTAAAAATTGACAATAGGGGGATATAAATGGTAACCCAGATAGGCGGCGTAACTAAAGGGGGGTTTGGTTGAATTGTGAGGTGTTCTGCGACCGTATGATGGACGTAATGGAATGGCATGAAGAAAACGGCTTCTACCTAGCGCTCACTTGTCAGCAGGCAAAGGGACGAAATGATCGGAATCATTTAATAAAATCGGCCGTGAAATGCAAGGTCTGACTCAGCGTCACTGGAATAATGGATAAATGTGTCTACCTATTAATACAAAAACCCACGTAGAGCTCAGCGTGCGATGTTTAATTGACGAAGCCGTCCGTACATCGGTGTTCTGAGTGCATTTTTTGTCAAATGGCCCCTCGTGCGTAGTCAAGATAGTGACACAGGATTTCTGCACGGGTGCCCATCACATCTTGAGGCTGTGTTTTTAAAAAAATTGATGGCACTAAAAGCTTTGCTCCAAATCCCGTGACGTATAATTTCTCTCATTGCACTTTCTGTGTCTTAGTTAAGGTGTCGTGTAGAACTTATGCACGACAGGAGTAAACCACTCCAAGCGCATATGCAATATTGATGTTAATTGACCCCTCAGATCAGATTGGGCCGCTGTTCGCTTGGTAAAAAAATTGCTCAGTTAGTTCACCGGTAAAGAATTGCTCAGGGGTATTTTTGTCTCTCTTTTTGGCTGCTAAATAAACAAATTCAAACAATTTACCGGGCCGTTAAAGCTCAAACGTCTGGCCGGGGTTGGAGGCGTAAAAAAGCCCGGGGAATCATCAATCGTCGTGGTGGGTGCAGTCTATCGAGATGACTATTAAAAGAGCCAGAAAGAAAGAAAGAGAGAGAGAGAGAGAGAGCAGAAAAATACTCACCGTGAGGAATGGAAGGCTTGTGGAGGAGCAGATGTAAGGAATTCTCCGCGGTGCTGGAAGCTGGCCCCGAGTTGAGGAGTGGAGTTCCTCTTGACCGTCAGCGGTCTTCGGCAGCAGCAGCGATGCGGAAGCGGCCACACGCGGCAGGCCTACCGGGGACCGTCTGCGAAATTCATTAAACAAAACGGCAGGGAGTGGAAAGAAAACCTAAGCATGAGTTGTGTCTATTTATAAAGGTCAGACTGGTAAGGTGGCAGTGCTTAGGGCACATTTGAAACCAGTGAAGCGATCTTGAAGAGATTCTCCAGGCAAGAATGCAAGAATCGGCAAAAGGACAAAAAAAGCTTCAATGAAGGGCGATCTTAATTTATATGCAGTCGGCTTGCTGCATATCATGGCCTTTCAACTGCCCGTATGTCTGGGCACATTCGGGGCGAAGTTATCGCTGGTCGCTGGGGTTCAATTGCTCGGAAAAGCGGCTGTACGCGAATTAAAACCTCCTTACCAGTTAGGGTCTCCCGAACTAATTGGGACCGGCAGTTGAGCGGTTGTCTACCTAGCCGGGTATAGTGTTCTGATGTACAGACGTGCCAGTAAAGTCCAAAAGCTCGTTTCGGGCACTCGACTTCACCATCGATTGGGTCGCAGCCTGTGCACCACAAATTTAATGAGACAGAAGAATCAAGGAGCGGTTTAAGACGAGCGCCTCAAACAAAAGCGAAGAAACCTGTGCATTAATAAATTGTCTGACTCCTAATGTTGGCAGACCAAGTAAAAATAAAACTTCTACACCCTTTCGTAGATGTCAAATGACATTGGGTATTCGGAGGGCGCGAACAAGACAAGTTTTGTAGCTGCATCACCGTGCACGTAGATTTCCAATGAATGAAGTCAAATCGGACGACGCGTGCGACTTCACGCGACTGCACGTGATGGATGCATCAAAAAAGACCTTTTCGAGAGCATTCGCGACTTATACAGACGAGCTTTACTTGTTGGCCTGTGGTGTAGATCGAGAGATTATCATGAAATCAGAGAAGCCTTGGATGATACTTCCGTTTGAGGTGTAGATATCCTTTCAGGCTTTTCGCATTGTGCAAATGCTGGCAATGACAGTGACGACGTAGGGTCAGAATTTGGACCCAAAAATAACAGACTCACTGCCTGCGATGCGCATGCCTCAAAATTGGAGCAAAAGACTGGTGCCAATCATTCACCGGAGCTGCCGAAGGAGGTTTACACAGGGAATCTAACTGTTCTTCTACACAGAATCCTTTTGGAGACAGTGCATTCAATGGGAATAACTAAACTAAAAAAAATTCAAATTGCTTTGGGCACAATAAGCGAGAAACAGAGTCTGGAAAAACAAATACGGAATAAATCTGGGTTGGTAACCCACTTTTGCTTTGGTAAACTCGCCTCTCTAAAGTTGAGCAAATTTACGCCTCGGTAGCCTGATGAAATAAGGCCTGGGACTCGGCCCTCAAGGGTGTATTCTGTTTCCCGGAATCATCCTTTTTTTTTAAATTCCGTACAAAAAAGTTCATTGATCTGTTTTCGGCGCGCCGAAAGCGCTCCGGTGACCGGTGAAAAAGCTCCCGTGTACATGAACCAGCGATGTCCAGAAAAGCCCACTGGATCAGACCTCTGAAATACAAGCAAAACGTTTGGGAAAAAGCTAGTGGCCGCCATAGCCCCGGGGCTGGACGGGAGTGTTCACTTGCAACACTGTATCCCTGGCACGATGCCGCAAAGTGTGCAGATTGCGCGCAATGAGGACCCATACATGTATGCCAAAACGGGTATATATCTCGTGGTGTCTCCTTCAACAACGCGGTCGCCGTGAAAGGCCTGCGACGTAATTAGTTTCACAAGTGGCGTCGAACCTCAATGGGGCGGAGGTTAAACGGAAAGAGGATCTCAACTCTAGCACTGGAAAATCGTATATAGAGCATCCTAGAAGACACGGTACTCAATGAATTCCGCACACGACAAAGTTTATCAGTCACTATCGCTCTTATGTTGTGTAAAAATAACCGCTATGTCAAACCTGCCGCTAGTTACGTTTCGAGGCTCGGGTGCGGTCTCTTCGTCCGAACATCGTTCACGCAAAAATCAGAGTCATACTTCAACGATCACGAGTCAAATCTGCCTTTACAATGTAAGCAAACCGAAATGTTCTGGTAGAGTACAAATAATTTTTGTGCATGGATTTCGTGCAAAATACGGGACTGATGCTCTGTAGTATGCATGCCGGAGTATCGTCATGAAACCAAGTATGCTTTCAATTTTTACTTACACCAATCATTTAATTCAGTGGATAACTATACGGATGCCTCGAGGAACCAAACTGCGGAAGGATGAAACTGTTGGATCTGCTGCTAACAGATTAGCGAGTCTAGCGATATGCTCCTAGATTACGCGTCTACGATATTCATGCATGCATATATAGCTTGTGCATTCTGGCCTGGGAAGTCGCTTCTGAAAACTGAAGTTTTTTAATTATTCGCAAAGGCAAACTCGGGTCTCATCCTACCTGCGGCAGCACCTCTCAGGGTCGGGGTGCGGCATGGTCGGTCCAACTTAATTAAAACTCGAGCGCGCGGCGGGAACGTCGGCATTACTTATCGATAGTTTACGACAGCCACGAGGAACAAATTGAAAGAAATGTTTCGTTTGTGCCATAACAAAAAGAGATGCATCGTGAAACAGACTTCCCGTCCAATTCCAATTTCCTTTCAAAATACAATAAATACTGCTAATAAAGTGCTACAATCCGCGTCAAAAATGTTCCTGGTTATGCATCGAGGTATGTCGCCCTTACCTACTCATGATCGACGCCATTAACTACTGGGAACGTCAGCCAGGATATTTAGTATTATAGTTTCGAGTGGCTTGATGCATAATTCAACGGCATATCTGGCTGATTCGTCTTGGGCTGACTTGAACACTTGACCCCGCTAATGAAACTCGGATGATTGACCTTCAGCATCGTTACAAATTCGCGGCGTTATTTCACTGTCACCTTGAAGAATGTCAAGCGGTTATAGATTATAAACTTCCTGGGCATGCGTTATCCAGAACGCACAGTCTTATCTTTCTACACCCAGAATGACATCAATTTTTAGAGTGACCAAACCCCCCCTAGTTCTGTTATGTTCGACTGTTGATTCACCGTTATTGCCCTCCTGAACACATCTCCAAGCAAGCTCAAAAGGGCTTACTCTTAAAATTAATCTTATTCAAACTAATTCTGCACTATTAATTCCCATATCTAATATGAACGTGTGATTCAAAACATTTTTTCACAATACGTGCTGTGATTGAAGACGGCTGTAACCCTGCAGCAATATCGACCCCTGGAGGGCGCTACATATGGGTATCTGTTCTACTACTATAATGTCATCTGGCATTCCAAGAGTACACAGTGCAGTATAGGTCTGTGTGAACTTCAGGGTTTATAGGGCTCAAGAACCATTTTTATGCGCGAACGTTTCTGCTTGACGAGTGGATGTGTGACGTGACAGTTCCAATATTCAGTCTCCTCGAACTGGACTAAACCAACGATTTCGATACTCAACAGATGGACAACGCTGTGGCAAAACGTGAACGGCCACGCAATGACAACGACACCAGTTTGATGTTCCCTGTCGATGAGATTGTACGCATGGCGTTCACTGCCCAGCACGGACTTTCCTTGACATCGGAACCCAAACGCACATGCACACCGCAAGGTAAAACTACATCTTGCACTCGTTCATTAATTTGACACTGACGAGCCAAAATAGTGGGTAGAATTCAGAATACGGGGCTATTAGTTTCCCTGTATAAATATCGCGGCTTGGATCATTTTACACCCGTTTACCTCTTCGTATGCCTGTCTAGTCTAACCGCTATTGACAGGACGCCAAAAATGCCATCTTGCCTAAGAGCCTGTGTACACAGAACTTGAATCTCGATCGGCAATCGGGTGCGTTGAGATCCACCTGCTTGTTGAAACCCCCACGACCACGTTTTCGCTTTCCTCCTTTCCTTACAAAGCAGCGTTAGCATGCAGATGGTGGCAACCTCCTTCCCCCTGAATTGGGCTCAGCGGAATCCGGTTTCATCGCAGAGGAAATTGTGGGAGTGTGACACGCGACCCTCGACGGGGGGGGGGGGAGCAAGCAGAGGACGGGGTGGAAGAAAGGAACGAGGCGATGATAGGAAATTTCCCATTTCCATTCACCGCCAGCTGGACGGATGTGCTACCAACGTGATTATTAAACACTCCAGAATTCCGTGATTGGGAAACGGGGGAAGGAAGGAAATTGGACGGGTACGCGTGCCAGTCTGAGTCCCTCTCTCGTCCCAGGAACGGGCTTGGTGCGGTCGGCTGACAAGCTACCGGTCCGTTGAGAGACTGCATTAAAGCCCCTCACAGCTAGCTCCGATTATTTCGCCCGACGGCGCTCAATTTGTCACTGTTGGGGAAATTCTTGTGGGAACGAACTCCTACACCTGTGTGAGATCCATCACATGCAGTGCTTCATCGCCACGGGAAATGATGGTGGAAGCCATCTAGGGATTCGAGAAGCTTTTGACTGCTGCAGTTGCTAAAAGAAATCCTGGTCATAAATAAAGGCTATAAGTGCCATCAAGTCCACGTCAAATACACCACCACCAACAGTTACGCTCTAAACAGAACTGAAATCCAAGAAAAAAGCCTTTGACAGATAGTGTCAGATATCTGACGATTATAACCTCTAAACATCTACAAATGACACTGAGATTCATCTAGCACTTATGCGCGCTCAAATTTAGCAAATTGCCAACAACAGTCGCACGGCGGATATATCAAGATTTGCACTTGCCGCGTCTCTGCCCTGGCTGCGTTGTATTGCATGCAGTAATTCGTGAAACAGGGAATAACTCCTGGTAATGTGATGGCGAAAAATCGATTCATATAAAAGCTGTTGTTCAAAGTAATGGGAAAAGATCGTGGTGTTTTACAGGCCTTGGTCCACATCACTGGCACTTGTCTAGCGCTGCGATTAAGGCCCACTATGGGAAACAATTTACGACATGACTGGCTGTTTCCAGACAGTCTTACTTACTAATCCACGAGTTTTTATGGCTAGTTCTAGTATCCTCTTTTAAGGCCTCCTTTCTCTGCTGGACAGCAATGCCTATTCTCTCTGTACAAACTTCGCCGTTGCCGTGCAGTGGGATTTGTTTGCTTGCGTGGGGTGGTATAGGCGTTGCCGGCAAGGTGCGTTTTGCCAGGACTCGACACCCGAGGTATGTAAGACCCTAGACTTGAAAGCAAAACTACTCTTCACTGATTCCGATCTCCAAACAAACTTGTCTGCGCGATCAGCAGACCGAATTTATTGAAGGGGTGCATCTTGCGGGATGCTCGTCCGCAATATTGTTCTAACACGAACCCCTCAGACACACGCACAGGCTGCATTGAGAGTGTCGATTTCAGTAAGTCAGTAAAGAAGGGCATATGACAGTACATGTATATGGTTCATTTTTATAAATGACCTAGGGGACGCCACGTTCGTGCTAGTAACGAATATGCTCGGATATAAAACCTCATGGATGTGTTAGACTGACTGACAACGGAGATCGGCATACAACGTCCGTCCAAAAAGGCGAAAGCTT